AGGGGTTGGGGGGGGTGGGGGGGGTAAGCTGTGGAAATAACAATGCCATTTAATCAGGGATAAAAATACATAAGCAGGCCATGCCAGTTTGGAAATGCAGCGAAAGGTATCCCTCGCTGCCTCATTGGCGGTGCAGAAGCAACAGAGCACTGGGCCTGCGCGCAAAGGAATTATGGTGTCTCACGTCTTGTCCACGCCAGCGCCCTGAGGCTTCCGGAACATCCTGAAAAGATCAGATTCCTACTTAAATTTGGCCTAACATTCCGTCTCAAGAGTCTCAACCAAATAAAGCCCGAAAGACTGCGGTTTCCATACCGTATGATCAGAAATTTGACTGTAAAATGGGCCAATGGCACTACATACAGCAGCACATAAAACTTCCAAATGTGACTGATAACAGTTTGAATCTTGAACTTTCTTCAGAAAAAAAAGAGAGAAATTCAATTCAAACAAAATAATCCGCAGTAGAAGTTTTGAGAAGGGAACTCGTTCTCAAGACGCAGATCTGTCCAACCTCCGATTTCAATAAAATGACAAGAGGTAGAGAGGTGTCAAAGGACTTCAGAAGAGATATTAACCGGTTATGAACACGCAGACAAGTTAGAGACAAGAAAATTCAGACAAAACATAACCCCTTAAAACTTCAAAGTAGATGTATACCTGACAGATCTTTAAAAAAAAATAGTGCACTGATACAAACTCGTCAGTTTGGACAATGTCTGACTGCGGCAAATTTCAAAATCCCCCCCCCCTTCTCTCCTCAACGAATATATTTAGCTTCCCTCCCACCCCCCCCCCAAAAAAATAAATAAATAAATACTCTTATCTGATTTTCGGGGAAAAAAAAGAAAAAACGAGTTTCAAAATAAAAACGAAAAAGAACCAACTTGTAGAATCCCGTACCACTAAGTTAACCCTTGGTAGCACCGCATCTCTACAGTAACTTCCTTACCAGCTGTACAAAATGGTTAATACTACATCTCTGATGGTGAAAAAACACCCTGTCTTGTGTCAAAGAACTAGTACTGGATGTCAATTTGTCAAATCGACAAGTCCGGTGTCTCTATCGTCCTCGTAGCGAAACTCCTGCCAAACACTGACAGTATTCAACATGCAAGGCCATGTCCACACTCTGTGCAACCAGCCACTGGAACAACAACATGCAACAACATGAGCTTGTTCTCTGAAAAAGCTGATAAATGGAATTCCATCCTCAACCACAGCTCGGCACGACAATAGGCAGCAACTACAGTCTACAGTTGAACAGGAGGAGGCTAGGAAGTTTACAGTGACAGTAACAGTTATTAACTTATTATATCACTAACCGAATTAAATGTGCTCCTCCACCAAAGAAGGGCGGTGATACTGTCAAGCATCATGACAGATCAAATCTGACACCATCATGACTGGCCGAATTAGATCTGTGTATCCAAAAAAAGAGTACTTTACGATGACCACCACTCGCTGTATTGTCACTAGTAGGCATGCAACTAATATGTTTCTGACAGACACACCGGTCCCCAACCATTCTACTCGCTCCCCATGGACGCTGCAAGCTCTACCTTGCCTGCAGCTCCCTCCAGTATAGCTAGAATGCCCGTGTGGGGTGCTGCCATGTCCGGCCGCTTCCGTCTGTTGTAGCTGGTGCAACACAAACCCAAAAGTGCCACTCTACGAGCCAGGTCAATATTCCAACAGCCTGCACTGGGATCCAGAGCATTCTCAAAAGCATTGTCATCTTCAATGGCATCCTCAATGACTTCAAACGCATTTGTGAAATTTCCAGTCAGCATCTCCAAAAGAGTGATGCCAAAGGCAAAGACATCGGTCTTCTCACTGAAAACTCGGGACTGCCAGTAATCCTGAGCGATATAGTGAGAGTTTTGTTGTGCGAAAAGCTGGGAGGTCCTGTTAAGTGTTTTCACGAGTCCTTCGGGAGGCTCTGAGTTAAGCAGTGCACTGTCAACACCACAGAGCTTTGCGACAAATCTGTCATTCAGAAAGATGGTTGCTGGTCTGATGGCAGAGTGGATGATGGGACCACCGGTCCCCAACGGATCTGAATGGAGGAAGCACAATCCTCTTGCAACCTCTGCCATTAGAGCATACCATGTGCTTTGTCTAGCAGATGAGATCCAATCCTTCACGGTTCCTCGTGTCATATACTCGTAAACCAGACAGCTCTCTTCATAACAGACACCAAGCAGTGCCAAGATATGAGGATGTCGAAGCAATCTCAACCTATCGACCACCTTTGACTTCAACGTGTCATGATGGATCCCCTGCATACTTGCATCCAATATGACCTTCTTCACCATAACAAGAGTGTCATCATTCAGTTTCCCGTGATAGACACGTTCGTGTTGATCCCCATGTTCAAGCTTCCACTTCGCATCAAAATTCTCTGTAGCAACCTGAAGTTCCTCGCCTGAAAACTCTTGGAGCAATGGAACGCACGTTGTCTGTGCATCACCAACCTCTTGTAACAGTTGTCATCTCTGCTCCAATTCCCTAACTTTCTTGGCCAGGACGGCTTTCTCAGACTCCAGCATAGAGACTCTATGCTCTACATGTGCTCTGGACTTGGCCTCTTCCTCTGCTTGCCTTTCTCTCTCAGACACAAGCTCTGTGCATCACCAACCTCTTGTAACAGTTGTAATCTCTGCTCCAATTCCCTAACTTTCTCAGCGAGGATGTCTCTCTCAGACTCCAGCATAGAGACTCTATGCTCTACATGTGCTCTGGACTTGGCGTCTTCCTCTGCTTGTCTTTGTCTGTCAGACGCAAGCTGAGAGATCTTATCTGCGAAAAGCGCCTTGGACTTGGTGGTCTCTTCTTGCAATTTGCTCTCCACCTCTTGAATCTTCTGTTTTGACTCTTCCAACCTCCCTGCCATTGTTTGCGCCTCTTTCTCCAGCTTCTCAACCCTCTGGTGCACTTGCTCAATCTTCTTCGTAAACTCCATTAGAGAATAAGTTGCTTGAACTACATGGAACTCTCCCTTACCGCCAAGAACAAGCAGGTTAGAGTTCTCACATGGATGCATTTTCCAAACCTCCCCATTCCATGGGCAATTAAAGGATAGGACTTGCTGGTAGTGCGAGTTACTCCACACTTTAATTTCTCCATCGCTTGCTGCAGTGAAGATATATGGCAAGCGTGGATGAAAAAAGGATGATCGTACTTCTTGCTTGTGCGCTTCCCATTTCAGTATGCAGATTCCCCTCTGTAGTCCCACACCCGGACACTCCCTTCGGGCCAGCGGTATGAGATCAGAAGAGACTTTTGGAGCCCAGTGCCAAATCCCAGTCGAAATATACACCACCCCTTGCCGCTGTCCTTCAGGGTTTGGACAACAGACCTTTTTTCCAAGATCCATACCTTGATTTCATTTACATCTGCGCCTGCAAGGATCTGTGGCTCCGTTGGATGAAACACCACTGGTAATACTCGAGTGGAATATCCTTCAAATGTTACCTTTTCCCATTCAGGGTGCCACCGCCACATGAAAATATTGTTCTGACCTTGAAAACTAGCCAATAAACAAGGCAAGGTCGGATGGATTGCCATGTCGTTGGCTTCCTTCTCACCAGTTTCTGTGGTTAGCACCTTTATACACCGCAAGTTGGACCCTTGCGTTTCATACACCTCAAAGCTTTTCGGTCGCCTCACCAGAATCCAGTCTTTCTGCGCGATGAATGCTACTTCACGGGCATCTGTCACGTCAGGGATCACCCAAGAGGCGACCCGTGTTCCGTCCTCGTAGTTCCACACTTGCACTGACTTGCTGTCAGGTGTGAATATTATCCATGGCTTAATAGGATGCACGTCAAAATCCAAATAATACGTGCTACCACCATCCAAAATGTCTTCCCCTTTCCTTTCAAATTTTGGAACCAGTTGAAGCTCACCTTTTCCATAACCATCCCGCATGAGGATGACAGTTTGGGGAGACTCCAATTATTGCTTCCGCCACCAGGGACCCCGGTAATCAATTGCCTGTCAAGTGGTACTCTGTATATCCGTGCTAAACCTTCCAGTCACGTCACAAAAGAAATCGTAATTATAGCAGACAGAACAGAACAGAACAGAACAAACTCATCGTCAGCAGTTTAACACCGGCCAGGGTTCGGCCAGAGTTTGGCCGGAAACCAAACTCTTCAGCCTGAGAATAAGTTTGGGTTTGATAAGCAGAAATGTTCGGTCCACTCTTTTTATTCATTATGGATAATTGTCATTAATTGGTGATTTATTTTTTATTATTGGTTACTGTTTATTTGCTGATTATTTAATATCTATCTGTATTTAAATCACCACTACCTCTTGCCGTCTTTTCTCCCAACCTGAATTCTGGTGCGTGCACTCGTTTTTTTGCCAAGCCTGGAGTGCGAAGGGCCCCATTCATTTTTTCTTTTCTGGTACCCACACAGAAACTGAATTTTTTTTGGGGGGGGGGAGCAAAAGAAAATGATGTTATTTTTTTTTTGGCGCAAAAGAAAATTTGAGTTTGCGCCTGCGGTGGGAAAAAAAAACAAACAAACAAAGATTCGGACTGTGAAATAGGTTGGATAGTATGGATCATACATTGTGTAAGGAAAGCCGGATCTACACCAAGACTGTGTTTTCCCTCTTTTTTCCTCTGATGTGCAATGCTGTGTAATACTTGTGCAAAACTTGTGAACGGGAATGCCTGTTGCTAGTGGTAATTGGAGCATATAGTATAGTAGAATAGAATGTGATATGGATATTCTGCAATATTCTACAATATTTTCTTTTTTCGAGGTCATTGTGACTTCGCCTGTGGGTTCGGCAGGTGATGCTGTCCCATTGGGGGAGCGCAACAACATTGTTAAGGGACGCCGGGCCCGGTTTCCGGCTTTTATTTATAATATACAAGTTCTTTCTTTCAAAAAAAATAAAATAAAGAAGTGTGAGTACGCCCTCAGTGAGCGCGGTTCAGCGACGAGGTGAGATTCAGTAAAGCAGAAACAAAAAAAAAAAACAAAAAAAAGGAGGACACAGATTTGGCCGTGAAAGCGAGCGGACACATTTCCTCGAGTGGCAGTGTGAGTATGCCCTCGGTGAGGGCCTTTGTGTATAAGGCGGAACATGCCCCTGCCTAAGCTGCCTTGCCTCGCTGGCACAGGAGCAAAAAGGAGGAAGAGAAAACACAAAAAAAAAAAGCATCCGCAACTCGCACTAATATTGGTAAGATACATTATGTGAAGTACCCCGACATCGTTGATTGGGACGCAGTTCTTTCTTTCTTTTTTACATTCATCTTTTTGTTTTCATGCGTCCGACACCTAAGCTGCCCCACGCCCCCGATTTTTCGGATGAGGCTCACCTTGCAACTTTGTGCTTTTGCCTGTGAAAGGTAGTGGTCCCGGGAAGACGGTAGTCTGCTTGGATGACTGCCTCTGGTTTTTTTTTTTTTTTTTTTTTTTTTTTCCAGGTATCACACTGATCAAAAAAAGGAACTACACTTGATCTCAGCCAAAAGGTGCAGAAACCCTTTAGGATGGAATTGAAATTGAAATCGAAGTGCCTTATTTAAAATAAAAAAAAATCTATATGCCTGACGGCGCCTTCAGTACTGCTCCTGTTGTCTATGAATGAATGCCACGTGTTGCCTCCCCCCCCCGCTTCCCCCATGGTCGTCACCTCCGCCTCCACTGTGTGCCTCCCATTCTGGAAACCCTTCCTGCTTCATTTATCCCCGCCACATGGCATCAGTAAAGGACGGCCTTCGTGGGAGAGAGTCCTACTATTCCATGATATTCGCCTTTTTCTCGGCAAGGTACTCTCTCACCGCACTTACAACTTTGCCCCCGCCAAAAGCCCCCCCAACACTGCCCCCACACCCCCCTCTTCCCCTCCAAAACGCGTTGCCTGTTCCCAAGCCTATTCCCGACGGCCGGTCCGTGATCGACCACTAGGGGGCTGCCATCGTCCCCTGAACAGAAGGCAAGGTCATTATACCTGTATTTTGGGCAAGTTTCCGCCCAGATACAGAGATAAAGTGAACCATACGTTCTATTCGGGGGAAGCTGATAGGTCCCCCTCGCCCCTATTCGTCGGTGTTGACGGTACATTGTACGCAGATCCAATCCATTATCCATGGCCATAGTACGACCGATGCCCCGGGCAATCTCACTATTCCCAGACTGTCTCTAACAGGATTGTCTCGTCCGGATTCGTCAAGAGGAAAAATAAAATTATGTCCAGCACCTCTTGAAACACAGGGATTACCCAAAAAAAAAAGCAAAGCAAAGCGAAACTATGTCCAGAAATGAGCGGATTTCTAATCTATAGTTATTTCAATACCTGATCCGTGCTCCATCGGACACTATGATAGTAATTACCAAAAAAAAAAACAAAAAAAAAAGTCGAAGAAGGAGAAAATGGAAAACAATCTCCTACTTTTGTCACAGCACATATCAAAGAAAAACAAGTGCGCGTTTGCTGATATGGAAAAAAAGTGAATCGGGCGCGGGTCATAGGATTCGCTTTGCACCAGAATTTTGTTTCGTACAACACCCGAATGAGCGGCGGGTTTGCTCACATTTTAAAAAAAAAGAAGGCGAATCGTCTGGAAACGATACACAGAAGATTAGCACGGCCCCGGTGCAAGGATGGCACGCATATTAAATCAATCAAGAAGCGGTCCAAAAAAAAAATATTAAAAAAAATGGAAGAAAAAGTGACCCACCCCATCATTTCGATACTAGGTTAATTCTATTTATAAACAGGCGGACAGGCAGAGGACTGCCTTCTACATATAATATCAAATCTATGCGATTATCGTCATATTGATTAAGACCTTTTTCAGTTTTCGCTTCTTCATCCCCATAAAGTATCTTCAAGTTTTCTGCTTTCCTCGTCGATCCTTGGCCATGCCCCACTTCACGAGGTCCGTAGTTCACTTCTGCTTTCGACTACAAAAAGCGTGTTGTCCCTGCCATCCGATCTGACAAAAGATCTCACGGCCACACCTGTGACCCCGCTGAAAAATAGTACTCCAAACCACACCTAACCCTGCCCACGTGGGCACGCCGCCCTTCCAATCCTACTTTTCAGGATATGTTACAGGAAGCAGTCAATCAATCGATACTATTCGTTAGTTAGTTCGATTCCTTCTATTACATCCCTCACACACAGAGAGAGAGAGAGAGAGAGAGAGAGAGAGAGAGAGAGAGAGAGAGAGAGAGAGAGAGAGAGAGAGAGAGAGAGCACAGGGTGTTACCGGGATGTGTATCAGAAGAGAAAGTCCTCTCAGTGTGAGAATGACTGTTCTGCTTTTGTGTGCTTAATTAACCGGACACTGGAGAAAGAGAGGTATGGAAGTGACAGGAACGCCGTTCCTTGGCGAAAAAAGGAAAGTCTTTAGGGAAAAAAAAGGGATCAGAACCGGACACTGTCCTTGATGGTTAGATATTTCAAAACGTTTTGAGAGTCGAACAGTGTCGTTGATCCTTAGAAGGGTATCAATACTCGCTCGGACTTGGATCGTTTTCTTTTTTCCATTTTCCCTTTTTACTCGAAAATATTTCCAACTGAAAGCGAAAAGAATTTAGAAAAAGCAATTCACAAAAATACCACTCTGAATATTCCCGGTCAAAACTATCGGACCTGCCATGTTTCTCCTTGCGCGCCGCGATAATGGAAAAGGAACTAGCACACAAGTGCAGAAACAGTCCAGGTTCCTAGGAAAGATAAGCCTGCTTTGAAGTGCTTTCACATCCCTGGAGTGTTGCAGAGAGGGCCGAACGAACTTTCACCTCTGCGCTGCTTTTCCGTCACAGGCGCACGCACTGCACCATCTCTCTCTCTCTCTCTCTCTCTCTCTCTCTCGCGCGCGCGCGCGCGCGAACACTCCCCAACTCCGTGGGGATCTTATGCACGGATGCTTATCATCGCCACCACCGGCATGGAAAACTCTCTCTCTCTCTCTCTCTCTCTCTCTCTCTCTCTCTCTCTCTCTCTCTCTCTCTCTCAGACACACACGACGGGCGGGGGGACGGGGGGGTGTTATCTACGGCTGTCTGTCATCGCAATCGCCGGCATGGAGGACAGCTTCGGGAGAACTTGCGGCTCACGATGTGATAACACGGAATGGCGGTAGATGAAGTTGCACACGCTCATCGGCGCCAACAGCTCTGAGCTCTGGTGTTCAGTATGACCTCCCTCTGGCTCGATGTCGGAGTTTGGACCGAGTTTCAGCATCCGCGGAATGTGGGAGACTACGCCCGACAGTCCTGACTTGAAACCTCGGCTTTTAATTCACAGCGCCCAAGATGTTGAGAGCCCATTCACACTTGGACTTTTTCATCTTCACGTGGAGGTAATTGAGGTCAGGTGCTTTTTTTTTTTTTCTTTTCTTTTTTCTTTTTTTAACCTGGAACAGAAAACGTTTAACGAAACGAAACGAAACATGCCAGGTCAGGTGCATTCAGGAAACAGAGTGTGAGTACACACTGAGTTTTCGAAAAAAGTTTCCAAAAACAAAAAAACAAGAAAAGGGAATGCTCCCGCCTCTTCTTCTTTCTGCCATTACCCCTCTTCAAAGGCACGACGCGTGGCCCGATTCATGTATCGGACGGTTTGTTTGCCGCCATATTCATTCAAGAGGGTGTAGTACGGCAGGCAGTGTGAGCACGCCCTTAGTAGTTCCATGGTGACAGACCCGCCTCCCAATGGGTCAGAAATTCGTGTTCGGCTAGAATCTGAGCCCGTGCTCACACGTCCTCTTGCCTGGATGCTGCTGGACATTCATTCGGCCAGGTTCCTAAATGACTCCTGATGTCAGTATGCCCTGAATTGGGACCAGGTTCCTGAGAGAATGAATGAACAGGCCGTCTAATAGGTGCCCGTTTTCAAACCCTGAGCCCCGGGCCCTTCTTTTCAAGCACCGAGCTACAGGAAAATCATTTATCTAAGACTGCCCCCTTGGAACCATGCCTAGTTGTCCAATGGCAAAGGACCCCATGGTTTGGGTGGGTTCATTTGGACAGGGGGGTTA